AGCAGGGACTGAAAAGCGGGTCGGACGAACTAATTTGAGCTACTTTAGTTCCTGGGGCTTTTTGGTGTGAACGCAAATATATCGTAGTTCTGATGAACTATTGTGGGAAAAGTACACCAAAGTACTCCGGTGTGAACGCATCTACTGTTATGTCACGGGTTTAGTTTTGTCTGTCTTGTAATGGGTTTTATTTTGCTATTCTGTTCTCCATGTCTCTTGTTTTCCTTCCTGTGTTTTTCCTCCTGTGTCTGATTGTCTGATTGTGTTCACCTTTTGCCCTTGTGTTTCTGCCTCCCCTGCCCAGCTGTATCTTGTCCTGTGATTACCCCTCTTTGTATTTAGTCTTATCTGCCCCTGTGTTCCTTGTCGGTTCATTGTCTTTCCTGTCTCCCTCCATGTTGGTCACGGTCAGTTTTTGTGTTGTTGCTACCTTGTGCTACCTGTGTTTTTCATGCCATGTTTTTGTTCATCAGCTTTTAAAATAAAGCTCGCTTTTTGTTTCTAGACCTTTTTACCTTTTTTTTGTAGTCTGCATTTGGGTCCTACCTTTTTCCACGATTCCTAACAGAATGAACCGACGAACTATGGACCCAGCGGATTTTTTTCTTGACATGGATCTGTTCGATCTAGAGTACTCTCTTCGGTGTCATCATGCTGAGTGGAGTAGAACCTCGGCTAGAAGGGACAAAGAGGCTGTCCTCAAAAAGGCACAAATGGAGGTGGCCAACATGCCATGGTTGAGGAGCTCGTTGCCTGAATGGCTCAGAGTTTTTTCGCGCGGCTCTGAGGGCCAGTCTCCATTCTCGGACCCTTTCTCGGGATCCAGCCTGGCGTTTGGAGGTCCACGGATCCTCCAAAAGACCTCTAAGAGACGCAAGGCCAGGATTCCAGCCCGTGCTCCAGCGGTTCCGGCTCCAGTGCCGGCCCACACAGCCATGGTTCCGGTTCCAGTGCCGGCCCACACAGCCATGGTCCCGGCTCCTGTTCCGGTCCCAGCAGCCATGGTTCCAGCTCCAGTACCGGCCCCAGCAGCCATGGTTCCGGCTCCAGTACCGGCCCCAGTACTGGCTCTCCGGCCGACGCCAGCTCCCCGTGTCCTGTCGGCGTACCGGCCGACTCCAGCTCCCCGTCTCCTGTTGGCTCTCTGGCCGACGCCAACCCCTCGTGTCCTGTCGGCATTCCGGCCAACTCAAGCTCCTTCACCGTCGGGGGTCCCGCCGACTCGGGGGTGCCGCCAACTCAAGACTCAAGTCCCCTCTCGAGTCTCTTCTCGAGTCCCCTCTCGAGTTCCCTCTCAAGTCCCCTCACGAGTCCCTTCTCGAGTCCCCTCTCAAGTCCCCTCTCGAGTCCCTTTCCAATTCCCTTCTCAAGTCCCCTCTCAAGTCTCTTCTCGAGTCCCCTCTCAAGTCCCCTCTCGAGTCCCCTCTCGAGTCCCCTCTCGAGTCCCTTCTCGAGTCCCCTCTCGAGTCCCCTCTCGAGTCCCCTCTCGAGTCCCCTCTCGAGTCCCCTCTCGAGTCTCTTCTCGAGTCTCTTCTCGAGTCTCTTCTCGAGTCCCCTCTCCAGTCCCTTCTCGAGTCCCTTCTCGAGTCCCTTCTCGAGTCCCTTCTCGAGTCCCCTCTCGAGTTCCTTTCCAAGTCCCTCCTCAAGTCCCCCTCTCGAGTCCTGTGCCGTTGGGGGTCCAGCCGACACCTGTTTCGTCGGGGGTCCTGCCAACTCCATGTCCTGTGCCGTTGGGGGTTCCGCCGACACCTGCTCCGCCGGATTTCCTGCCAACACCATGTCCTCTCCTGTTGGTGATTCCACCGACACCTGCTCCGCCGGGGTTCCTGCCGACATCATGTCATGTCCTGTTGGAGGTCCCGTCGACACGTGCTACGCCGAGGGTCCTGCCGACACCAGCCCTTGTTTCGTCGGGAACACCTGTCCGGGCAACACCGGTGACTATCCCGCCGACACCTGTTCCGCCGGGGGTCCTGCCAACTCCCTGTCCTCTCCTGTTGGTGGTCCCGCCAATACCTGTTCCAGCGGGGGTCAAGCCAACACCTTGTCCTATCCTGTTTGGGGTCCCACTGACACCAGCCCATGTTCCGTCCAGGGTCCCGTCTACGCCTGTCCCGCCAGGGGTCCCACCAGCACCTGCTCTCGATCCCAGTGCTCCGGCAATCCAGCTGACACTGGAGGGGTCCCATTGCGGCGTACGTCGTCATCCGGAGCTGTCCCGTCGCCGCCTTCTTGCCCGGCCTCCTGAGTTCCCCAGTGGCTTTCGCCCTCGAGCCCGACCCCCTGACTCTTCCAGCCGCTGCCTTCGCCCTCATGCCCGGCCCCCTGAGTTTGCCCGCTGTGGCCTTCGCCCCTTCTTGAACTCTGCCTTGCCCCCGGGCCGTCCGCCCGAGACCCCCTCCATGAACTCTGCCTTGCCCCCGGGCCGTCCGCCCGAGATCACCTCCTGTACCTCTGCCTTGCCCCCGGGCCGTCCGCCCGAGACCACCTCCTGTTCCTCTGCCTTGCCTCTGGGCTGTCGACCCAGACCCGTCCTCCGGACCCCCTCCACCCACCCTTTTGGAAGTGTTGGACTTTGTTTTTGGTACGTCTGGAATCCGTCCCTTGAGGGGGGTGTTCTGTCATGATCTTAGTGTTATGTCACAGGTTTAGTTTTGTCTGTCTTGTGGTGGGTTTTATTTTGCTATTCTGTTCTCCCTGTCTCTTGTCTTCCTTCCTGTGTTTTTCCTCCCGTGTCTGATTGTCTCATTGTGTTCACCTGTTGCCCTTGTGTTTCTGCCTCCCCTGCCCAGCTGAGTCTTGTCCTGTGATTACCCCTCTTTGTATTTAGTCTTGTCTTCCCCTGTGTTCCTTGTCGGTTCATTGTCTTTCCTGTCTCCCTCCATGTTGGTCACGGTCAGTTTTTGTGCTGTTGCTACCTTGTGCTACAGTACCTGTGTTTTTCATGCCATGTTTTTGTTAATCAGCTTTTAAAATAAAGCTCGCTTTTTGTTTCTAGACCTTTTTACGTTTTTTTTGTAGTCTACATTTGGGTCCTACCTTTTTCCACGATTCCTAACATTCTATACATTGAACTAAAATATACTCCAGATTTAAATTGTATTTAGTTGATCCTGTTTTTTCAAAGTTATCCAACACAAAGAGGACATTTGGTAGGGCAAACTTTAACCCGAGACTAAAGGCCCGATGTGATAATTTGTATCATAGATATCAAAATAATCAGCAAAAGCAGTTATTAGATGCATATTTGATTAACTCCACTGTATATCATTAATAATTATTTTATTTTTTCATGTTTGAAGAAACATTTCTAAAACTATACTTTTATGCATTTACAGGACCACAGTCTCCTCATTCTCATGTCACTCAATCAAGTCATTTTTATTTATATAGTCCAATCTTTTTTATAGGTATTTGTAAGCTTTTCGTCAAGGTAAAGATGGATAAGAAAGAGAAAGAGAGGATCTAAAGTAAAGAGCCGCAAGGGACTTAACCTCATAGTAAATGTCAGCAGGAATATGGAACTGATTTTGAAAAAGAAAGAAATGTAATGCTTTTATTTGCATTGGACACATTGCACAACCACATTTCACATATTTTTCGTCATATTAAATGATCCTCAACAAGAGGATGTGGCTTTGTGGTTACTACCAGGTTTGGGGAAAAATTAAATGCATGGAAAATGTTTTAGGAAACTAGAAAAAAGGACACGGTACGGTTACTCTAAAATAATCAGATGACCGATACCCTGTGTATAAATTAGGATTTTTAACCGGAGATTACAATTTTTCGATACATTTTAAAATAAGGAACTATATATTACCATTTGCGTAGACAGTAGGCAATTGCGGCGGAAAGGGCCGCTTGGACCAAAACAGATGGACAAATGACTCAAAACCTCCAATGTAGCTGTGCTGCTATAGTTGCCATGATGAGACACAAGCAGACTCACTAGGTTGAACAAAGTCAAATCACGTCTGGTAAAAATCAACAAATAGCACAAGAATAAAATAAAGCCCTTTTCAACTTGTGTTAGTTCAAATGGATTCCAGGTCCCAATTCTCCTTTTGTGATCAAAAATCTAAAACCACATAATTCTTTACATTTTAATATACTTGAGTGTTCTTTCAAGTTTTTCTTGACATAAGTGAACTGTATGCAGTTTGTGATATTATGGGAATCATATAATGGCAACAGCAGCTGTTGTTAAAAGCTACTGATTTAGGTCAAACTCGTCTAAAATCTAAATACAAAATTGCCATGTCAATTTAAATAAGGAATGTTCTTTGCATCAACAAAAAAAACCTTCTGAATGACCAGAATGGGTATACTGCAACAAACATTGATGAGTTAAAGGTGGGGTAGGTAAGTTTGAGAAACCGGCTCGAGATACACTTTTTGTTATATTCCATGGAATGCTCTTAACATCCCGATAGCAATTAATATCTTAAGTGCTTTGACAAAAAATCCATAAAAAAATGTCATCTGTGGAAGCCGTAGTACTGTAAAAAGCACGACCAATCATTTTAGCCGGCCCGGCTAAAATAACTGGATGGCCGACCTGCCTGTCAGCCTTCCATCTGTGCACAAACTTATCTCGTCCCCTCATTGGTCATGTGCGCGTTCGTGTGTGTTGGAGGAGGGGCTCTGTAAGGAAGTGGCAGATTTTCTCCGGCTGTGTATTTTCAAATTCTAGCGATCTCGAGCTGGTTTCTCCAAAATTACCTACCCCACCTTTAAGCAAAAAATATGCATCTGTAATTTCTGTAGTGCTTAACATTCAGTGTATTTGCAATAATGATATATATTGTGGGGTTTATTTGTATAGCAATGTAGTTAAATTCCAGTTTATAACAACAAACAGAATTAGAACTTTTTGAACATCCGTCCAAATCTTAGCTACTGTGAAAGTGAATTAAAGATTTAGTCATTTTCGATATGTTTCAATAAAATAATTTAAATTTTAGTACAATGCTTTTCTTGAAGAAAAAAATACTTTGTCAAATTCTATTTTTTTTATACAAGCCAAAGGAAGCGTAGCTTTTCAATGCATGAGACAATGTTTCATCCCTGAGGCCATAGATGAGAGGACTCAGACATCTGGGAGCTAGTATAAACATTATGTAGTTATTGTACCTGACATCAATATATAACTGTAAATCAATCGGAAGTAAAGCAGCTTCTATGAACGGGCCCCACAGCTTGATGAGACACAGTAGCAGCTGGAAAGCATGAAGAATGACCGTTCTGAGCCCTTTCCATGTTGACTTCTTGTTCTCTCCTGATGCAGCTTTGGCCACTTTCACTATTTTAACATAAGATACTACAATAGTAATTAACATGAGCAAAAAGTACAACTGGTTTATAGCTGACAACATATGACTCTGCCATATGTACACATTGAAGGTCTCCATTGAACACGTCCTTTTTTTTGTGTAAAAGCTAAGAGAGGCTGTTGCAAAGAAGGCGGAGAGAACCATAATACAGGGAACAGCGCTGAGGCCATGAATGATGAGGATGCAGTGCACAGCGCTGCGTGTGGAGGACAGCTCTCCGTGTCGCAGGGGCATGCAGATGGCAACATAACGCTCCAGAGTCATTGCTGTCAAAGTAATCGGTGTGACAAAAGAGTACAGAGACAAAATAATACAGAGAATGATACACAGGCCAACTTGTATATCAAACCTGAAATAGGCAAACATGACAGTGATAGTAGAAATGATCAACAACATGCTATCAGATAGTAGTGTAACAGCAAATAAGATGTAGCGTGCGTTTGTGTAGAAACACTCCTTTTTAAAAAAGGTAAAAATGAGCAAAAAGTTAATGTAAACAAAAATCCCCACCAGGATCTGCACAAAAATGATCCGGTAAACCTGCTGCTGATAAGACACACCACCCACCAGTGAGCTGTTATTGGTCATATTTTGTTTTTTTTATACAAAGAGCTTAAGGCTCCATCATTAGAAACAGAAACAGATTTCTCTGAAAACCCTCCAGGCTGTTCCAAAAAATAAATATGTTCTGCTGATCTGAGAGCCTTCTGACAGAGGGCTGATCCAGATGACTTTAAAGACAAGACCGTCCCAGAATGAAACCAATCTCTGCTCGGCAGTGTCGTCATCATCCCTCTCTGCTAATCCCCTTCATTTCATTGCTATTCTGGAAAGAGTTCTATACATTGAACTAGAATATACTCCAGATTTAAATTGTATTTAGTTGATCCTGTTTTTTCAAAGTTGTCCAACACAAAGAGGACATTTGGTAGGGCAAACTTTTACCCGAGACTAAAGGCCCGATGTGATAATTTGTATCATAGATATCAAAATAATCAGGAAAGCAGTTATTAGATGCATATTTGATTAACTCCACTGTATATCATTAATAATTATTTTTATTTGTTCATGTTTGAAGAAACATTTCTAAAACTATACTTTTATGCATTTACAGGGTCACAGTTGCTCTGTCTCCTCATTCTCATGTCACTCAATCAAGTCAATTTTATTTATGCATTCTAATCCTTTTATAGGTATTTGTAAGATTTTTGTTCATTCTTTATTATAGTCAAGGTAAAGATGGATGAGAAAGAGAGAGAAAGAGAGGATCTAAAGTTAAGTGCCGCAAGTTGGATTTTACGGGCCGCTAGGGACTTAACCTCACAGTAAATATCAGCAGGAGTATGGAGCTGGTTATGAAAAATAAATTGAATGTTTTTATTTTCATTGGACACATTGTACAACCACATTTTTGTACAGCTTTTGAATGTTACATGTACCAGTCCAGACGTGCACACATGAACACTCTCACACACAGACACATGTCATAGTAATGCTCATCTCTTAATTTCAAACTACGCCAGTGTATGTCTTTATGTGGTGTTAGATGTTGTGGAGTTCACCTCAGGCTGTGTCTAACCGCACTTTTCTGTTCTCTGTCATTAGATCCGAAGGCAGCGCTGCTGTCCTTCACAAAGATTCTGACCTCCTCTCTCATAGATGGTTTCTTGTGAGGAAAGCATAGCTCTGAAGATATTTCACTCTTTAAGCCAATTCATTTATCATATTTGTTAAACGTCATTGAAGCACTCTTATCTTTTACCACAACAGGGACCGCAAATGTTATTAAGATGCACAATTAAGAAATCAGACGGTCTTGGTCATCTTTACTGTTAACATGTTGACAGTTTACTGGGAATTTTACATCAAAACACAAAGTAACAACATATTTTTACATATAGCGATTTTAAGATTAATATACATCTCCCTAAACATTGAAATAGTAGGGCTGTCGTATAGCTCAGTTGGTAGAGCTGGCGGCCCATGTAGGGGGCTAGTATGCGGAGGACCTGGGTTCAAAGCGGGTCCGGAAACACGTGCCGCATATCAACCCTCTGTCTCCCCCCTTCTAATCTGTCTCTACATCAAAGGCACTGGTTGCCCAAAAACCTTTGTTTTAAAAGAAAACACAATTAATATTAAACAATATTAATGTATGACTAAATAGTTTCATGCAGGCAGACAAGTGGAAAATGCAAGGCCCACAGAGCTGTATGATATATCCATGGTGTTAGGGACATGGTTGTAGGAAAACTGACGATGTTCAGCTAGATATCACTGTCCTCGTGTAGAAAGGGTAAATGACCGACAGAAGCAGAATTAGAGTGGTGCAGTGACGAGTCCTAAAACCCGGAAGTCAGTTGGCATTTTACCACTTACGGTTCCCTCGTCTCAGAGTCAACGGGATTTTTCCATAGGATTTTGGAAAATAGCTCGAAATAAGGTCTGTGGTTGACACAAATTTAAGAGACGGTTCACGTTTTGTTCTATGACATTAAATACAACAGCAGTGACCGCACTGGGGATTTTTGAGGAGTTTACATGTCTGAAAAACGATGGTTGTTAACAAGTGGCTGAATAGGAATACAGAAGTTGCCGAGGACGTTGTACGTCATTACGCCGAACACGTAAACACTCCCGCTAAGTTTGTTTGCCCCTGTTCTGCTTGAAAGCAAGTACCTGAGCTCTTGCAAACTGTTAAAACAAACGCTTCAACTTGTACAATTTTGAATCTGTATTTTTTAATATGGATCTTAAGTTGGCGTGACGTTGAAATCGTGCGACCCTGCTGTACTCGGCTGTAGTTAGTTTATAGCATAACGTTAGCATTTTACTTCTGGCGACTAGATTTATGATTTGAAAATTATAAAAGTAGGGTTGACGTGTGGATATTATCCGGCTGAACAAAACGTGCATTTATCAGGTCATTTAACAGGTTCGTTTTCCACAGATCTTATTTTTTACAATATTCCAAAATCCTATGGAGAAATCCCATTGCTTTTTTGTCGAGGGAACCCATGCACAGCTTACTTCCGGGTCGGCCTACACAAATACGTCATCCCTGCAGCACCACTCTATTAACTGTCTCTACAGTGTGTTCCAAGGGAGCTGGCCACACATTAATCCTTCTGTAACAAAACACAAGTCAACATGTGAATTGCAACAAAGTTACTTACTAAGCAAGAACACCAGAAAAACCCAATTCTTCAACAATACTAAACCAATAGCAACTTATCTACTGTTAAAGCAGATTTTATATATTAGTGTACAATGTTCAATTTTAAACTGAGTAGATAGATATTTCCATAGCATGGAACCACATAAGTAATCAATCAAAAGTGAAGTATAAGTCTCTCTCAGGCTTGCTTAGTAGCTTGGGAGCTTAGAGATTAAATGAAATGTAGGCCTCCAAATACACCAGTGCGTTTCTTAAACAAGGGGTTTTCTACATGTGCACTATTGATGTGGTCTTTTTTCTATCTAGTATCTAAAATACTTGCTTTTCTTTAGGCTGCATAGCTGCTTTAGCTGACAAAAGCTAAATAAAGTCTGACCATCAAGTGGATCTTCTAGCTTTAAAGTGGCTGTGCCATGCTTTAAAATCCCTTTCCGACAGCTTGGTAGAGTCTGGGCCATATATAGTAGGGGTATAAGAGGGAATGTTAACTGAGCATTGTGGCAGTATTGTATTTCAGTGCACGGAAAAAGTTTTCATCCCTGAGGCCATAAATGAGAGGACTCAAACATCTTGAAGCAACAGTAAATGTTATGTAATTAAAGTACCTAATATTGATGAATAACATCAAATTAACCGGGAGGATTGCAGTTTCTATAAACGGGCACCACAGCTGGATGAGACAGAGAAGCAGCTGGAAAGCATGAAGAATGACCGTTATGAGCCCTCTCCATGTTGACTTTTTATCCTCTCCTGATGCAGCTTTGGCCACCTTCACTATACCAATGTAGGATAAAATGATGGTTACAAACATAATTAAGAAGTATAACTGAAATACCACTAATTTAATGTGATCCTGCCATCGGAGAAAGACAAATAATTGCATGGAGCAAATCTTGTCTTGAGTATACATATTAAGGGGGGCAGATGCAAAGAAGACGGAGAGAACCACAATACAGGGAACAGCGCTGAGGCCGTGAATGATGAGAATGCCGTGCACAGCGCTGCTTGTGGAGCACAGCTCTCCGTGTCGCAGGGGCATGCAGATAGCAACATAACGCTCCAGAGTCATTGCTGTCAAAGTAATCGGTGTGACAAAAGAGTACAGAGATAAAAGAATATAGAGAATGATACACAAGCCAATTTTCATTGTGAACTGAAAGTAGCTCAAGTTGAGCAGGACATCAGACATGATTAAAATAAAGCTATCAGAGAATAGTGTTACAGCAAATAAGATGTAGCGCATGGTTGTGTAGAAGAGGTCCTTTGAAAAAAAGGTCAAAATGAGCAACAAGTTGATACAAAGGAAAACCACCACCAAAATCTGCACTATGATGACCCGGTAATCAAACTGACGCTGCCCAAACTTACCACCAGCCAATGAATTGTTATCTGACATATTTTGTATATAAAATGTGTTTTGCACTACCAAAATGAAATGATATACCTTCTCATATAAAAAAAGATAATTAAACCTATAACATTAACTACGTTTAAGCTTCTTCAAGCTTCTTATGAGTCGCAAGATGTAGGTGCAGTCATTTATTAAACCTCCCATACAGTAATGTGACATTGCGGCACAATTACAATTCAACAATATAACATAAAAAAGAATAAACTGTTAAAATGTGCATCATCATAAACACAGGTCAATATGAGAGAAAAGTTAATTTAAAGTGTGATGTGTGATGTGAGTTGACCTGCTTGATCTGGTCAATGGCTTGCAGCAGCTTTGGAAGACAAATGTATTCTAGTGAGCTCTGTGCAGTCTTTTGAGGAAGGGTTTGTTAGACAAGCTTGGCTATTGGTCTTTCAAAAACATGGACTCTGGGGGAAACTATGGTGTTAGTCTCAGGTATTCCCAAACAAATGTCAAGTCATATAATTCCGTAAAACACAAGGCCCAAACCAATGCAGAGTGACTTGTATCTGTAAATCTGCATCTGTGCCTCCACATCAACTTATAATTTGTTTATGGTTTAATATTAGTGAATCTCAATCCTTTTCTGTGTATTCTTTTAAGATTGGCTTTACCTTACTTTGTAACTTAAAATCAACAAAAACAGACACTACGTAACCAGTACTTTATCAAATATGATGCAGAATTGAATGAGGGATTTGTATCTCTTAATTACAATCTGTATATCATTGATTAAATCACATACAATGGCTTAATAACTTTTATAATCCTTAAATGTTCTTGTAAATCGTCAATTTACCATTTATAATTATGTTTTGGGAATCTCAGAATTTGTGTAGATCCTTTTTACTCTTTCGTTTTACTGTGCCATTTTATATCACACAAGTGCAAGGCAAACCCATGCTCTTGAGTAAATAGTGGTAATGCCACATCTATGGATGACAACAGAAGAAGAAGAAGAAAAGAAGCCTTCGCCAGATAAACATTTAGTGC